CCATGTATCCTTTAAATTATGTGTCCCACACCGCCTTTGTGTCAGCTTAAAAGAAAGCAAAGCCCCACACTCATTGCTGCTGTCTTTGTCTTTATTTTTTTGGTGTCACAGACACAACTCACTTCCTCTTGTTGCAATGCGTAAACCCGTGTGTGTGCCATTTTCTTTAGGAGACACAAAAAGTGAAAACGCGGCCAACTGGCTCACAGCAAAAAGCGGCCGAAAGAAACGGTGTCCCTACACCAAGCACCAGACACTTGAGCTGGAGAAGGAGTTCCTCTTCAACATGTACCTGACCCGAGAGCGCCGCCTAGAGATCAGTAAAAGCGTCCACCTGACGGACAGGCAGGTTAAGATCTGGTTCCAGAACCGCAGGATGAAACTGAAGAAAATGACGCGAGAGAACCGGATCCGGGAGCTCACCTCTAACTACGGATTCTCGTGATGAAAGAGGCAACGAAGTCCAAACGGATGAAAATAGGTTAAAAAAAAAGTGGGGGGGAGAAGAAGAAAAAAAATCAAATTCAACGACACCCCACCTCCCCCCTACACCCAGATTCCTGTCCTACCTCTCCACTACAGTGACGATTTCACACACGCTTAATGTCGACGCATCCTCTTCCCTATTCCGAGAACAACAGAGAAAATCAAAGGAAATGTCAGTGGGAACATCCGAGAAAAACAAAAAAAACCCAAAAAACTAAACAAAGGAAAATGACTGAATGGGATCAGTCTTGGGTGTTTTCTGATGTTGTATTTTTGTATCGTTTAGCTTGTCACCTCTTTTTGTATGGTTGGGTCAGTGTCGTTAAATCAGTGCAGTTAAAACACACTCGAACACACACACGCGGTCGTGCCAACAGACGTGCATGCGCGCATATACACCAACTTTTCTGCCCTGGAAGGTGACTCAACCGCTCTCCTCCTGCCACGACTCTCGAGTTTCTATTTGACTAAATCCAAGAAACTATTTTAAATGAATTGGAAGTGCATGATGAGAAGTTTTCCTCTATTTTTTTAAGTAAATCTAAACCACTCTTGAATATATTACAATTATATCGCGACGCGGAAAATCGTTCACCACGTAATAATTAGATGTAGTTTACCAAGATATAGGCCCTAATCTATGTGTGAGTCAAATGTATAAATTGTAACTTTATTCACGTTGAGGATGTTTACACAAACCGAGTGTCAGAGGTGAAGTAGGAATGTTTTTACTGTATATTTCTGTGTATATATATAAATATATAACATTGTGTTTTTGTGTAATGCTTAATAAATTATCAGCTCGCACAGAGGAGTAGCTGCTTGTATTTTTGTACTATTTCACATATGTATACTCTTTATATATATATACATACATATACATTTCCCTTATGTTAGCCTTACTGAGGCCAGGGGAATAAAAGCGTTTTTTTGGGTGTATTTCTTTTTTGGGAGTAAGATTAAAAAGTCTGAATAGGCTCCCACACACGAGGGATTCATTTGTTTTTTAACAGCACAGAAAGAATGGTTTCTAAAGGGTAATGCATACTGGCCATCGGAAATAATAAAGATATTAGGCTATAAGCCGTCTTGCTGCATACCCAGCCGGCTATTGTAGAGTTTTATGACTGGCTGGTATATGAGGTTTCTCCCTCTCCTCGAAGAACAGCTTCAGTCGTGTGAGAGCCTGTCGGACGGAGAGGAGGCCCGGCTCACCAGCTAGAAATCCGAACTGTACTCACGCACTGTGGATAAAATACTTTCAGCCTCAGCCTGGAAAACGCTGGGATTAACCTTCGGAGCACCAGGTAAGTCCTCCCATCTTTGTGCATTTGGCCATTTTGCGCCTTGTTACCGCGGCTTCTCCATAGTATGTGCACCCTGTAGTTGGACACTTATAAATACAGACGATTATTTATTTGATTATTTATTTTTTTGGCACACACGGTGACGGAAGCGACCACCACGGTGAATTACCAATCGGCTGATTGTGTTTCACTCGAGGCCCCCGGATATCGACTGTCGAGTGGTTTAGGTAGTTTCATGTTGTTGGGGTCTATTTCAAACTCTGCAACATGAAACTGTCTTAATTGCCCCAGTTACAAACTTCAACACCAAGCGGAAGGCAAATCAGGCACACACGAGGCTGAAGGGGATTAGTTTAGAAATGTGAAGCGACGCTTTGGACGTACGTTACGAGCCTCCCAACAGAAATACATTTGGGAGGGGTGGCTAGCTGCTTTGTATGTTCTCAAATCTGTCTCCTGTATAGTTCCCTTTTGGATTGCTTCAGACTTGTTTTATGCCGGGAGAGGCACGCGTGTGCCGAATATCAACGCGATCCAAAAGCCGAAGCTGCAGAACGAGACGTGGACTTGGGATTAAGACTAAAGGCGAGAGCGTTTTTCTCCCCGTGAGTAGTAGTGACGCAGACGCGCCAGACAAGGCCTCGGTTACGACCACTGCAGTGGAGGGGAAGGGGAAGGTGAATGGGGGAACAGCGACCTCCGTGGGCCATGAGACCGGATGCTTCCACTGCGCAATGGTGGCTCACACAAAAGGAGGGGAAGGGCTTTATGGCGATATTTAGATCCGCCAGACAGGCTGTTATCTGCAGAGGCAAAAGAAGTGAATAGCCCCTGCGGTAAAGTGCGGTGGGAAAAAAACACCCTGATTTAGGTTTACAGCCTGAGAGCCATTGGCGTGGTGGCGTCTTTTCCTGCTTCGAAGGTGTTTGTCTGTTCTTGTTTGTCTATTGGAACTTTTAGTGCACAAACAGGCGCATGGGCCGATCCCCCCCCCCAGCCCTTCCTCGGTGCGTTTGATGTCTGTTGTTCAAATAATGTGCAAGTATCAGGGAGGTGATAGTCTAAAACGGCTGGTAATGTACATCAAGGACATCTTGTGCCTGATTTTTTTTCTCCCCCCAACCTCTCATCCTCTTTTAAATTCAGTTGCACGAGCAGACTGCAGAGGATCTCTTGATCTGCCTGTGGCCTTGTAGGGGTGTTGGCCAGGCTCTCTCTTTTTCATTTGCTGGCAATAAATAAAACAGCCCCGTAATATGAGAAAACTCAAGGTTGCTGCTTTGGTGCTCGCGTTTTGGCTCAGATTTAGGATAATTCCACTATTACGCAAACGCAGTCGATAACATCTATGTTTAATAAGACAAATGTATAACGTAAATGATCGTATTTTCATTTTCATACTATATCTGTTCTTCTTTTCAACGTATGATGAATGGATGATTCACATCGTTATTATTTTGCACTATTTCCACTTTACAATTTCCGTGTAAACAGAATAAATCCTCTTTTTCCTTATTTTCTTTTTGGCTGTCTTGCATAGTCTTTCAGCGTGTTTGCGGGCAGCTGCTCATTTTATGTATTTCACGGCATTTTCTTTTAAAAACAAAACAAAAACATTGGATGTTTTGAAAGCCGTAGCTTCCCGGACTACTTCATATCAAAAGGCGGAAGCCACAACCACGACTTGGAGCTTATATTTAGCTCCGTTTATGCGTAACGTTACTCCAAAGCTCGGGCTGCCACGGGAGTTAATTTGTTAATGGCCGTGACGATACCGACATATAGTCTTATCCCAGTGATAACGGCGTGAAAATAGTAAACGCAGTGGAGTCAAATGATTGCAAAACAGCCCCTATTATTAATCCTTTTATCGTTTAATTTAAGAGAATAGTCAATAATTAATATTTAATAGTGGTTGCGTTGATTGTTAAAATTTCCAAATTCGCTTGGCTTTTTGTTTATTTTTAATCATATCTTTTGTTTCATATTGCAAATTGCTAGACACTGTGTACATACAATAATACATTATTTAAAAGTATTTTTGCAGCCTGAGAAATATGTAAGATTTTGTTCATGTTTGGAATTAAAGTTGATCGAAAATCTGACGCCCCAACATCCTTTTCCTCCATTTACTCAATTACTGTGACTGGAATTTTAAAAGAAAATATCTAATTCTTTCACTGAAACCACGCAAAGGTACAATAATTTGTCTCGGGTATACATTACTCTTGAGTGAGTATTTTCTTTCTAAGGCGGTGTAGGCCATGTTAGGATTTGGGTTTTAGGTTGGAGAAATACTGGAGGCGAAGCCCGAAAACATCCCGGTGACAAGGAGCATTTATGGCTGAAAAATACCATTAAATAGCTCTTCTTTGTGCGTTCACCATTTTTAAATCAGCCCGAAAACTATAATATTCTCCATTCAATTGAAACAAACCCCTTAAAGCTTTTTTTTAAAGCTTGTTATCAAACGTGACCTCAGACGTCTTTTTGCTTATAACTTTGCCAGCCGGAAAATAATATTTGAAGCTCTGTCAAGGCAAATAAACGCACAGTGACAGATGCCTCATACAGCAGAAAAAAGAAAGGACTGGATCAAAACAATATCGTATGCTTGGTTTGTAATTTATCATCAGCTCTCCAATCGTTGAGCTGCAAAGTTTCTGTGATACACTGGTGTTTCAAAATGTGTTTTGGCGAGCAGCAATTGCAGGGTGCTTACGTGTCCAATAAAGTATCTCGTAAAAATAAGGCTTGGAAAATACCTATTGTATCATTCTGGATTAGCAGGAGAGAGATTTCAACCGCAGCAAGTGGCAGTCGTGCTTTGGAAGTAGCTCCTGCTCATTCATATTTTCCTGCTCGCACAAAGCAGATCTTGCTTAAATCTAGATAATTCTGAAAACTGGAGGTTGTTATAGCAGAGCGGGTGAGTATTTAATGACCTCAGGGATTGATTTATCCTTTATTGTTCAGCCGTAGGATCACGTGCGCCGGCCGCCCAATGGCATGGCAGCCTGTCTCCCCATTACTTTCCCACTGTAGTTCTCTGAGGGGGCCAAGTTGCTACTTGATTTCTCCACATTGTTATTTTGTGAGGCTGGGTTTACGGCGTGTGTATGTGTGTGTTTGGCGTGTGTGCGCGTTGTGCTTTGCATGTATCCGTTGTATGACTGCGTACATGTGAGAGTCTAATTTTTTTCTGCCATGTCGACATCCGGAACGCTGACTAGCTACTACGTGGATTCCCTCATTCTGCCCGAGACCGAGGAGCTCCCCGTGCCGCGGTACCCCTCCGGTTCGGGGCTCCAGCACGCGCGGCACCAGCCCGCCTCCTCCATCAGCGACCACGGCGAGCTGGGGACCTGCACCTTCCCGTCCAAGGCTCCGGTTTTCGGGCCGTCATGGAACCACGTCCCGGCTCAGTTCCCGGGCGCCGTCTCCTCGGTGTACCACCACGCGCACCACTACGGGCACCCGCAGGGACCCGTGGCCGCGGACCCGGACGGCCGCTACCAGTCCTGGCTCCTGGAGCCCGTGTCCGGCTCGCTGCCCATGAGCGGATTACCGACCACCCATCACCCCTACGGAATCAAACCCGAGGCTCTGGCCACGCGAGCTGACGGCGCGCTGGCCGGCTCCCACACGGCCCTGCTGCTGTCCGACTACGCCAACGGCACGGTGGCCACAGCGTCACCGGGAGAGAAGGACGAGCTGACCGTCCAAGCCGGAGACGCGGGCGGGGAGGGCGACGAGAAACCGGGCCTGGACCCAAGTAAGTCACAGCCAACCCCCTCATCCCCACCCCCCTTCGTATTTGAACTATTTTACACGCATAAAGCTGTGAAGAATGATGTCCAAGATGGGGAGGAGGGGGGGTGCGTACCACCAAATGCCATTCTGAACGTGCCATTTCCGTGCGGGGGCTGTTAACGGCCCCGCTCACATTGCGGTATTAGATATTAAAGCGGGCAGAGAGGCGGACAGCTGCCTTTTGCGCGTGCACATCTCGCCTCGTTTGGGTCTCCTTTCACTGTCCAGCCGTGTCCGAGCCGCCTGTGTTTATGGTTTCTATTTTGTTGTTGTTGCATTTGATCAAGTCCGAACCGGGACCTCACACCAGTTTCGCACCCCCCACCCCCCCACCCCCCCAACCCACCCCCCCCCTCACCCTCTTTTCAGATAACCCGGTGTCCAACTGGCTCCACGCGAGCGCCACGAGAAAAAAGCGCTGTCCGTACACCAAGCACCAGATCCTGGAGCTGGAGAAAGAGTTCCTCTTTAACACCTACCTGACCAGGGACCGTAGGTACGAGGTGGCCAGGCTGCTAAACCTCACCGAGAGACAGGTCAAAATCTGGTTCCAGAACCGCAGGATGAAGATGAAGAAGTTTAATAAGGACGGGGCGCCCAAAGACGAATAACCCGGCGGCAGAGGAGCAGAAATGTAGGCTGATAGCGAGCTCTTAACTCTGCTGGACCTTCTTTTTAAACTCCATTGTCTTATTGGTCTATATAACAACTATACGATTATTTGTCTTGTCAAGATGATTTTTAAAAAAAAGCATGCTGGGCTTTAGTTCGATGCGGCTACCCTGACATTGCACATTTTTGACAGTGCCCTCTCGTTTGTTTGTTTTTTTTAGTTTGTTTTTTTAAATTTGCTCTTACCCCCTTAGTTGATTTTTTTAATTAATACCTCGTTACAGTGTATTAGTTGGCCTGGCTCCTGTGCTCGTTTGTGTCTGGATGTTTAGCTGTGCGTGTTTCGGTTTTTGTAGCTATATTTGTTGTCTCTGAGTCAGTTGAACAAATAATTTGTTTGAAAATGTAATAATTTTATTGTCGTTCCTCAATAACTGGTAGAACATTGACTGATGGCCACGAGTTTGATACTAACAATACAACCGTAGAAGAAGAACAAGAAGAAGAAAACGGACTGGTCGTATTTCCAATAGGCGCATAAACCGCAGAAATCTCCTGGAAATTCTCAAGAAATTGAAGGATGTTATTGAAGATACATTACGTGACATGATTGACTACCTACGTCTTTCAACTACCTATACGATATAAGATTTGGGGGGGATGGAGGATTATAGTAGATTTGCTTGCATCACTGTAGTGTGTCTGGCGGAATTTCAGGGAGAAACATTTTCAAGGGACATGATGTTTGTTAGAGAACGAAAAAGGAAACACTGTAGGCTCATTGAATACCTCGCGGTCTGCTGACCGTCTGACGTTTGGTTCACAAATGTAATTTGTACTATTTATTAAATAAAACAAATTATATCTGGGATACATGAATGTTAAATTCCTATTCATTTTGTCCTCCCATCGACCTGGTTTTTCCAAGATTGAATTTAGTTTGAATTCGCCAGCTGCTGCTGCCTAGAAAGTGTTTTAGCCGCTGGTGTGATGCACAATGAGTGCGTTTACACACTCAAAAGGGCTAAACTTAAAACAAAATGGTTGCATATATGTTATGGGCGAAGTTAAAAAAAAATAATATTCCTAAGTATTTAAAGAAAGACTTAGTTTTTCTTTAAACATTTTGGAATACCCGGAAACACTCCAAAATGCACACAACGATATAGGTGAATATGTGTGTGTGTGTGTGTGTGTGTGTGAGTGTGTGTACGTGTGTGTGTTGGCTGGGGACAGTTGCGTCTTGGCAGAGGATGTTGTTAGCTGTATACAGCCATAAAAGACAATTACTGCTATAACCTTTTATGGGGTGCAAAGCGCTGCGAGGCGAGAGGACGCAAAACAAGAGAAGACATCGAAGTCTTCGACAGCTGAAGCCCAAAAATAATGCAGCCGATGTGTTTGTGTGCAGCTCGGCACAGGCTGTGACACAGCAGCCCAGCATCGACGTTCAGACAAACCAAATCAAACAATAAGACAGAATTTCTTTCTTTATTTTCAATTGGAAACTCGTTTAAAAAAAAAAAAAAACTTGACCTCAAGTAGTTTGTCAGATTGTTTTTACAGAAGATTTATGATTAGGCTTTTTTTTTAAATGGCCCTTTGGTCCCTATGTAAGACTGGCTCAAGTCTCTGCACGTTGGAGAAAATATTTGACACGAAGAGACTAAATGCAATATGAAGGAAATCCACGTGAGCAAACCGCTTGGCTTGGAAAAGTGTCCTTATCGATCAAATGCAGGCCCGAGGCTAATGGCTACAGTTCCAAATGTAGTTTTAACTTTGGAGGCATTAGTCCAACAGGAGTGCTGTTTTGACGCGTTAGGGGACGCAGATGCACCCAAACTTCAAAGGCTCGGCCAGAGACGGTGCAATAAAACGCCTGGTCTGCTGCACTGTCTGGCATTCCAGTTTTAATGGCTTTATGGCCGTCCAGACACAATTAGGCCGTTTCCAGAATGGCACCCATTTGTTTTTTTCTTCCCTTTCTGTGGGCCTGGGCTCTCGACAAAAGGCCGAGCGGAAATGATCAGCTTTATTGGATTCTCCCCGACGGGGACGCGCAGAACTCACGGTCATTTGGAGAGCTCCTTTGTTTCTACCTGGGAACCTTCCGCCCTCTGCTCCTTTCCCGGCCTTGTCCTGAGGGGGGAAAGGGAGCCATAAAGTCAGCAAGAAGATACAAACGCAGCAATATACCCCTGAAATGTGCCGACATGCGTCTGCACGAACGCGTGCACGCGCGAGCTGTGCTCAGAAATCACGCGCACAGGAGCTCAGTTTTACCTCTCTGCGTCATTTCTCCGCGTTTTTATCATGAATAATTTCCTTGAAATGCAGCCGATGATAATCGCGCCTGCGCAGTTCTGCTCCCAAGCCATGCAGTTCCCACAAGTCACCAGAGGGTGGCGACACTGTTTCACAACATCCCCCTGCTTTTTGTTTTTTTTAAGGCTCCTTATGACGCAGCGTTGGGCTAAAACAAAGTGCAGTAGCATTTTAAGAGTGCAGGGAAATGTTTTCACACCTACTTTTACAGTCTGGGTTGCAGAGGCTGCTTCCTTATTCTGCATCCCTGCAGGGGAGAGTGAAACAGCCAGTCAGAGGCCTCTGGATGACTGCTGCTCATGAGCCCTGGCAGTCCACACATACCTTGATTTTTTTCCTGATTTACACGACTTGACTTTCAATTTGGGGTGTTGATTTTATACCATGTTTGATTATGTCGTAAAAAATGTTTTAGAACTGCAGATGTGAAATACGTCTTCATTCAATGTTTTTCTCAATTCGTTTGGATACTATGAACTTTCCCAGTATGTAATGAACTGTGATAGTAGTCCTAAGATTTTAATATTAATAGAAAATAACTAGACATCAGGAGTAATAATGGTAAAAAAACAAACAAAAAAAAAACAGCGTCCTGTATGGTGTAATCACACTTTTCAACACTTAAACTTTTTGGATCAACATCACAAACACTAAGTAAATAAACAAATTGTCCAAATAAAAAATTAATTAGATGCGTAAATAACAAAGTCTAGTTTATGGTTATTAATATTGCCATTTTATTTGTTTTATTGACTCACCCTGATTTGATATTCGAACAGATATTTTCACGTCCAAATTCAATTTATAGGGTCATAAAAGTAACACAAGCTATTTCTCTTTCTGTTTTTTCTCAATCGAAATTGAAAAAGAACACGTTTTAATGTCAGTAATTGTCCGTGATTTTCACACCCCTTGTCTCCTTTAAGTCTTGTTTGTTAAGGCGTAGGAAACCAACAAGGCTTTATTACTTATTTATTTTCATTTAGTTACTAATTTACCCCTTTTTAATGGTTATTGAACATATCAACATATTTAGGTGTTTGTGTTTTTTAGCAAATACGTTCAAGCTATCCAGGAATAATCGTGAAAGAGAATTAAATAAGAGCGTTTGAAAGCCAGTGGTGATTATCTGTGATGGTGTTGGAAAAAGGTGACATAATACCAGTGCATTTAATGTCACCTGCAAAAAAAAATGTATGTGCAAATAACTTGAATCGTGTGAATTTTGCTCACGTGTGTTCATTTGTGCGTACGTGTTTATGTGTGTGAAGCGTTAATCCCACTCTGCAGTCCTTTGCCATAATGAATTCCGTGCCTGTCCTGATTGGATGAGAGCGACCGGGCCTGAGTCACATGGTCGAGATCTTTGGTCCGGAGTAAAAATGGGGTTTGGTGTAAATCTAGGGTGTATTGCTGTCATATATCACGCTACCTCGTAAAAACGACACCGAGGATTCTGGGCCAACAAATCAGAGGGAGAAAAATATGAGTTCTTATTATGTGGATGGCCTTCTTAGCAAATCTACGGCGGGTGCTTCCCTGTTCCCGAGCTCGGAGCGGGCTTCTTGCAGCATTGGACCCGGCGGAGGCGACCAGAGAGCGACGCGCACGGCGGCGGCCATTGCGTTTTCATCCTCCCTCTCCGGGGTTTACGGCGTCGGTGGCGCGGTCTACCAGAGCCACCCGGTGTTCGCCCCGGGCTACGGCCAGGGACGGGACGCGCGCGCGCACTGCGGCAGCCCGTTCGACCAGAGCCGCCTGTTAGGCGACAGCTGTTATCATCCGGGGCCGGGACCCCTCACCTCGCCGGCGGACAAACAGTACCGGATGTACCCCTGGATGCGCGCGTCAGGTACGTTCTTATTAAAAAGCTCCAAAGGCGACGACCAGCGTCCCCAACACTAAAGCCAGTCGTTAGCGGGTTCGATTAATTTCTAGAAAGCTCATTGCTGTTGCATGGAAAGAATCATAAAAGTTTTATTGCGCAACTAATGAGTTCTGCAGCCATAAATTCATTTGGCCGGCTCTTCGGTGTGTTCAGTATGCACAGAGACCTTGCCGCTGGGGGTTTCTCTGCACTGCTATTACTCTTACAGCCTCTTCTCCCCTTTGTGGTTGTAAAAGTGAGAGCCCTGTTGTGTAAATCAGTTCTCCTGCATTCTGCAGCTCTTTTCTAATTGAGTACGCACCGCAGAGACTCTGGCATTTTTCTGGAAAAAAGCAGATCAATACGCACAACTATCGGCCTCAGGTGGATTTGGAAAACAATGAAACCCTGACATTTAGTTATGTTTTCTTCTTCTTCTTCTTTTCTTTTTACACAGGGATTGTTATCCAATTACATGTGGCTCCTTTGGTGTGCAGAGCATTGCTGGCTTTTAATTGGATAGGCATGTAGAGTATCAAAGCAGGCATGTGCCAAACGCCCCAGCAGGACTACTTTTAATTGAAAAGTTGAAAAAACAAACACCCTCGTACCTTTTAACAGGATGTTCTATGAGGGGAAAGTTTGTGGGCAAGCTAATGTGAAAATATGAGCCACAATTAAATAGCAATTACAGGTACATTAAACAAATAAAGACACCCAGTTGTTTCCTTCAGCAGCTTTTTATTGTCAGCACACACTTTGAGCAGCATCGTAATTAATGGTTTGGAGTGTCATATGTCATAAATTAAGGCCAATGAATTTTTTAAATATCTTCTTAAAGGCGTGCTTTATCCTCCGCAGATCCGAATCGAAAGCGTGGACGGCAGACCTACTCCCGGTACCAGACCCTGGAGCTGGAGAAAGAGTTTCACTTCAACCGGTACCTGACCCGCAGGCGGAGGGTGGAGATAGCCCACACGCTGTGCCTGACGGAGAGACAGATCAAGATCTGGTTTCAGAACCGCAGGATGAAGTGGAAGAAGGACCACAAGGACGAGTCCGACCCCGGAGAGAAGCCCTGTGGCATTCAGGTTGAGTCCGAAACTGGAGACACGGAGAACGCTGACGGGGAGGACCACAAATCTGCCAAGTAGAGACGGACAGAGAATTAGAGGGAGAAAAAAATCAAACCCGAACAGTTCATTAGGTAACATGGAATAATAAGGGATGTGTATTCCTCACACACAACGCGCCTGCACAGCTATAGACTTATTATTTCAAATGCAGCTCTGGATTGTGGTATTTCTGTAATTAGTATTTAGGTATTTTGCATTTCATAATTAACCCTGAAATGCATTAAAGAAAAAAAACTCCACGTCAGAAGAGATGTACTATAAGCGAACTTTCTTTTTTCTATGTTAGACTGTTCTAAACATTGTACTACTGAGTCGACATTCCTTTAAAAAAAAAAAAACTACCTAACATTATATTCCAACACTGGCTACGGAAATCAAAAATATGTTTTAAATTATATATTGTAATCGATGGTATTATAGCCACAAACATATATATTTTTTCTTTTAACAGAACAAATTCTTTCGAAAAAAAAGGTGCCTTATTTGAATCGGCTGCCTTATGAATCTCTAAAAAGGAAATTTTTTGCATGGCAAGACAGCTTTATTTTAGGCTTTGATCTATACATTTTAAACGCCTGATTTTTTTTGTGTGCTTTATTTCCTTTTTTTTGGTCTTAAATGAACGTCCCCTGATCGTCAGAACCTACCTCAGATTCCCACATTTCCAACTCACTCACTGTAAACCAGAAGGACACACTGTATCCGGAAAATACTAACATCAGCTGTGGACTGAATCCCAACAGTTCACAGGGGTTTGTGACATGCGTGTGCGCGCCGTTATCCAGCAGCCATTACAATTCAGTGTTACTTTCCAGCCATTGTTGTTGCCACACAAACTATTAGCATTTACTATATTTCACATTGTAACACGTGTAGCGGGGAAAGCCCTTCATCTGTGAAGTCATGTGTGAATAAATGGTGGGAAATACTGTTAAAAAACAAACCCAGATTGGCTTCAATCTGTAAACGAGCACAGTTAATAAAATAGCTTTTTCCCATGTATGTACTCGGTCAATATTTGCTTTGCTGGAATCACAGTAATCCCAAGTAAAGTTTGATAAGGGAATGGTGTTTGGTGACCTTCAGAGTGACCAGTGCGTGGGTCGAAACGTGTCCACGGTGGTGGGTTAAGTAATCGGCGTGGGTTAAAGAATGTGAACTATGAAGACACGAGATGGGACAGGCTGCGGATGAGGGGGAATTACTGTTGAACTCTGCCTTCCCTCTCCTCTCAGTAAGATGGCGCCTGACCCCCCCCCACCCCCCCTCCTCTCCCTCCCCTCCTCTCCCCTCCCTCCTTCCCCATCTCTCCCTCCAGCTCTGGGTCATAAATCCGTTGTTGTTTATGAAAATTTACAACACAGCGGCACAACTTTACGACGCAGCTCGGCCTCCTATTGGCCGCGGCTCGTCACGTGGCGGAGGAGCCGTGAACATGAACTTTTTTATATATAATTTCCAAAAGCGGAATAGAGCAGCCTTTCGTTTAACGGACTCAGGCTTCACGAGGCTCCGCGAGGCACCAACCTTCAGTCTTCCCTTTCCTCTCACGTCCACCTTCTATTGTTTTTGCTCTTTTTCTTCCTTGGAGTTTTTTTTTTTTTTTGGTCTTGGTTTTTCTTTTCTTCATTCTGTCAGACGAGGATCTTACGCGGAAACACGACCGGATCGCTGGGCTTCCTGACATGTCTTGGCAGGATGGGTGGAAGGAGCCCCCGCGCGTCACTGACCCCCACGAGCCCGTGTTTTCGGGCGAGGACTCAGGTGGAGACTTTGCTCCGTCACTGGCCGTCTGCACCTTCCCACTCCCTCCCCTCCGCTCCTCTGTTTACATGCAGAGCTCCACACCAGGTAAGGAAGCTGATTATTAAACCACCTGTGTGCGTTTGCTCTGTGGAAGACATTCTAATTTCCTCCTCCATCTTTTTAAAATTCCCAATCTTGAGAACACGTGAAAGAACTGCTTCAGCTCTATTATTAACGTTAGTGGAATGTTGCCATGCCTCAGGCATGTTGGTAGGCCTATGTCTCGGTTTTAGTCTGGTGTACAGTTGGCAGGTTTGTTTGTTTTATCAGGGTGATCTTTTTGTGGTTTCGTGTTTTCGTTCCTGTGTTTGTTGTCCGATTTGAGCGTGGATGTAAAAAAAATATCAGCCCCGAGGACAAAAGTGCGGGCTCTCTGGCGCCCTCCTGTGGAGGCTCTGGGGGCTGCTCTGCTGCAGAGCCCTCACGCGCAGGCCGGCCGGCAGACAGGTTGACCTCTGCGTGCGCGTTCGTGCAATTTCCTCTTAAGGCTTCCTGCCTCGCGTGGGTTGTGGCAGGTCTCGTCTCCCCGATCAGGAGAGAAAAAGGCATTTTTAAAAACACGAAATTTGAATGAATTTGTATCCACTGGTGGGTTTTTGGTCGTCACAGATGATTGTCAGGGAAGGTGAGCTTTGGAAATGTTGTTTTTGTTTAAAGGGAAATTTTCCCCTTTTGATTCACATCTTTTCCTGAAAACCAAGACTCAACAAAGGACTTTTAGATCTTCAGTTTAACCACATTTCTGTTTGCTCTCGTCCTGAATGGATTCAATCTGACAAAAGAAAAAACTTTTAAGGGCTTGTTTTACGTTGTTTCCATTTGCACAGAGCTGAATATACTGCTTAATATATACAACTGTCATTTGTATTTATTTTTTTGTCTTCTAAATGTAAAAGTGTGCGTATTACCGTATTACAGGGCCGTGAGTGCAGAGTGTGTTGTTGTTGTTTTCTGTGGCCAACATGTGTTTATGAGCCATTGTGCCCCCAGAGTGCACTGTTCGCTTTCTTCACTTAAAGTTCCCCCTCCTCCCACACCTTCTCCACCCCCCACCCCCCAAAAAAAACTCCACCCCACCCCTTATTACTCCCTCCCAGTCTGACACCAGTGCGCACTCACTTCTTTACTCCCTGTTCTTTAGGTCCTAATTTCGTTTCTGGGTGTGTCCCTGCCTAAACTCGGTGAAATGATTTTCGTGGGAACTCTGTTGCCATTGGCTTGCCATAAATCAGCTGCTGCAGGGCGACAGTTAGCCAACACACACCCGGTGCACAGATCTGCCTTTTATAATGGGCCCAAACCTCCCGGATTTCTCTCACCGCGCACCTGGGACAGAATAAATAAGCAGAGTGGCCGCGCTAGTTTCTGCCAGCACAGAAACGCGCTTGTGTTAGACAAAAAAAAAAAAACAGGCCCTTCTTGGAGAAACGGTGCGTGTGAAGGAGACCAGAGGAAAAGTCCGCGCCCTCGAGAGACGAAGGTGCCATAAAAATTCCTCAGTGAGGAACCCAAACGGCAGGATGCTGCGCCGTGGCTCTATTGAGACTTTCACGCCTCTTGTCTGTCTCTGAGCTGCCTTTCTGCTCTTTCTCACGAATTTGGATAGCTGAAAATGAGCTGGACAGTGTGTCGACGTTTTGAAATGCTAAAAAAAGACGACTGAGGAAGGGAAATTTAAGTTAGTATACTTGAGAATCCCTAGTTTTTTTTTTAAATATATAACTTGGGTGTTTTGCTTTGTTCAGAGACTCTGACCTTATTATAATGATTAATGCATTTTATGCCCCCATTTTAAAAGTCTAAAAAGCAAAATAGCGTTGTTTCCACAAATTCTGTTTTGTGGAATTGACAGTATAACAAAACAAAAGAGCAATTATTTCTATTGCTAAAAAATGTGACGCTTTTAGTAAATATGGTGTGGTTTTGTTCCTTAACTGCATCAAAAGCATCGGCTTTATTTTAAGCCAAAAATAACTTCCAATATATGCACGTTCAATAATTCTTAACGATGTTATTTTCAGTCCATTTTGTTTCTCCGGATTCCAATTTAACATGTTCTTTGGCTTCAAATAAAATTTAGAAAAAGTCACGATCTACCATTTTCTATTGTAAGCTGTCATGTCAACAAACAAACAAACACTAGAACACAAGTGCATAAGGCTGTTTAAAAGTTCAAATGACAGAGGGCTGCCATTAAGTAAAACCAATAAAAACGGCTTAGGCTCGGGCCTCCAGCAGCGATCATCCCGATGTTTGCCATCATAAAATCTGAACTTCGTCATAAACTGTATTTTTCTGTGCTCATATAAAGTCTGTATATGTGCTTATCAATTTTGTCAGTGGAAAAAAAGCCTTTCAAACCGCAGTTTCCATCGTGTTAGGTGATAATGTCGAGTTGATTCTCTTCCCCTCAAATATTTATTCATTTACTCCTTTTTCTCACAAAGACCCACTTGTTATTTTTTCTTTTGTTTTGTTTGTTTGTTTGATATTGTAGCGGAGAGAACTGAAATAGCTCAGCCCGTGCTCTGGATGGGATTTTATTCCATTAGCTGCAAAGACTATTTACACCCATCGCCCATCATAACCTGCGTACGAGATCCAGATCGAATTATTTCTGCGCGCTATCGCCGGCGAGATTGCGCTCTCAGCGTGTGTCACTTGTTGTATTGTTCGGGAGCCCGTTGTTGTTGTTGTTGTTGTTGTTTTGTTTTGTTTCGTCGCCTCTTCTCTTTTTTGCCGCAATGCTCGTTAACCTCCGAATGACCCCGTGTGGAGCCCACGCCTCAGAAACCCGCTGCAGACTGGGGGGCAGTGCAACAGTTGCGCCAGAGGATGGCGCACAACGACAATCCAAAACACCACAGCACCGCCTCGGAGTTTGCCCGAGCGCAGAGCGCGGGGAGGCGCGCGCCCCTCATATCCCACCCAGTATTTCCTGCATGCGCGAGTTTACCTCTGGAGGTCACCGAGCAGGATTTACGACTGGTCAACAAAAGCACGTGATTCTTCGCCGTACCCCATATTTGGGTGCCTACGTAAGAGAGAATCAAGTCCATGTCCCACTCATTTCCATAATTCATCATAAATTGTGCAAGGGTGCTATAGGACGCGCTAAACCATAAGAGCCACAAATCAAGACAGTAGGTTTATGCCTTTTACATCGACAAATATTTTCTGAAAAAGCAAAAAAAAGACACCCAACAACCAAACCAACTGAAAGCAAGCGGTGGAACTGTCAACAAATGAGCTCCTATTTTGTGAACTCATTCTGCGGTCGCTATCCCAATGGCGCGGACTTCCAGTTACATAATTATGGGGACCATAGTACGGCGAACGAGCAATACAGGGACTCAACGGCCATCCATTCCAGCAGGTATGGCTACGGCTACAACGGAATGGACCTAACAGTGGGGCGGACCGGCGGCGGACACTTTGTGGGCAGCGAGCGGACGCCGGGCTATTCCCCGAGCCACTCGGCGACCACGGCTCCCTCTGTGGAGGCGGTCAGGTACGGTCAGTCCGCCGGCGGCGCCGGGAACGCGTCCCTCTCGCCGCCACCTGACCCTCTGCCGTGCTCCTCGGTGGCCAGCTCGTCGCCGGCCGCCGACCCCCAGCCCCAGCACAGAGGGGCGGTGAAAAACTCCATGGGCTCCCCGTGCCCGAGCTCCAACGGGGGCACGCTGCTGCTCAGCCGGGACTGTGCGTCCAAAGCCCCCTCCCTGGAGGAAGAGAAGCCCGCGGGAAGCACGCCGTCCACTCCCCAAAACACCAGCGACTCCACGCAACCTCAGATATATCCGTGGATGAGAAAACTCCACATAAGTCATGGTAAAACGGCTCGGTTTCATCATCTTATATTGATTTTTTTTAGGTCTTGTTTTGTAATGTGTCGTAGCGTTTGGTAGTTAAAGGAGAAAAAAACTTTTGTAACTTACAAAGGTAGCAGAGGAGAATTGGACAGTTTTGGGTTGTTTTGGAATAGGGTTAAAAACGCAAATAAGTGCATTATCCTAAAATGTCATGTGGCGCCAAACGCAACACTCACCTGTTTGGTGCCTTTTTGGTTTGCATAACTATTGACAAGGTACGGTAGGATTTAACTCAGAAAACCAGGGCACCCTCTGCTAAATTAAATACATAATTGACCAAATAGATCCACTCATTTAGTCATAGTGAACATATTTTTAGTGATGCATTTTGATTTATGCTACTTTCATTAAATTAGATGCTTTTAGATGTTTTCCTTTGTTGTCTGTTTTTCATAATTGTCATGATTCACTTGTCCCTCAAGACACATTTCTGTGTTAAATCTAAATGATTCAAATCGAGAATATCAATACAGTGATGTCATCTGAAATGGTCAGACATGTGGTCGAAGTTGATGCACCGATCAATATTTTTCACATCCAGTGTGTCTGATCTTCTCCCCTCCACGCTTTCTGCCCAAGATCTGTCTGGACCGGAAGGAAAAAGAGCCAGAACCGCATACACTCGGTACCAGACCCTGGAACTGGAGAAGGAGTTCCACTTCAACCGGTATCTGACCCGCAGGCGGAGGATCGAGATAGCCCATGCCCTCTGCCTCTCGGAGAGACAGATCAAAATCTGGTTTCAGAACCGCAGGATGAAGTGGAAGAAGGACAACAAGCTGAAAAGCATGAGCATGGCGGCTGCAGGCGGAGGAGCCTACAGGCCCTGATATTCCCAGCTAACTCACGAAAAACGAGCACGATCAAATGATAATAAAAGAGATTTAAAAAAAAAACAAGAACAAAACACAGCTGAGATCGTCATACCAACGTCTCCTATTAGAGGAAAAAACACGAAAAAAACAACAAAAACGCAGAGACTTGTTGACGGGGTGTGAGTGGGACAGACGGAGGCTCCCAGCCTCCAGCCCACCAACAACCCCAATATATTCCTTAATATTATTTCCTTTATATTCCCAAAAACGTGTTGATGCTTATGTGAGTACAATTGCATTATGTACAGATCTGTTTAGGTTTAGGACGAAAAAAAGAGGAACACGTGGAAATAAGCATTTGTTTAAATTATTTGTTGCTCAGACGAAAAAAATGAAAAAATAAAAACCTTTTAAAAAATGTCAACGCTTGAAGTGCTATTGTCTGCCGCAACCAATTCCAGTAAATTCTGTGGGATGCACTCAACAATAACAGAAAAATAGAGGGTTTGTGTTTAGCCTATGTTTTTTCTCTGTATGTACTGTATATGTATGTATTTATTTGTTTGATGTATTGTACCAACTTGTCAGAAAACTTGCTTCCAAAAGTAGAACCAGCAGATAAGCCTTGTGTGGTTATTGTGTGCGTCGTGAACACATGTATGGACAGAGGTGCCGCCTCACCTTTGTGTGTACAGTAGCTTTGCCTTGGTTTCTTTGTTTTTCCAGGAGCTTATGTTTGAGTTGTGTCACCTGGGCGCAGCTTCTTGGTAAAAACGTGTTTTGTCTCTGTTTTCTCTCGCTGTTTTTATGTGAAAGGTCTCGCAGTAAAATTCCGTTGCCTCCATGTGTATAACTTTAGTGATGAGCTTTTTGTAAATGTTTTTCAAAGACTGGAAGTCAAAATATGCTATAATAATAATAACGGTCGTGTAAATAATGGCTACAATAAACTTTTTACTGGAACGGAGACATCCCAGTGAGTTTTTGTAAGTTTGGGGGTTTTTTTTGCGGCTGTCCACGCAGAACTGCTGCGTGGAGGAGTCAGTGTTTGCTTTCATGGTTTCAAATCTTCAGCTCATTGCAGCTGAGCTGTGAAAAAAAAAAAGTGGGAAAAGTTTCCTCGACTTAAAAGCTCCCTGAATTCAACAGGTCCCCTTTGAATGAAAGCTTTTACTCACCTTTCTCTGGCGCTGGGGGGCTTTAGGGGGTCCACTACCAAACTTCAGGGGCCGAGGGTTCCCTTTTTGCGCACACACTCCTGGGCTATTCCCCGGGAATTAGCTTGACTTTTTTCTGGCTGTAAACTTTATTAGGGCACGATTCTGGCTCCCTGACATTTGGGTGCTAAATGAATGGGGGTTTTGTCTATGAATTAGATCGTAAAAATCATCCGGAGAGCGGCCAGATAGGCTCACTGGCCATAAACGGTCACGTGGTGGCCATTAAAGTAAGTTTTATGGTTTTGGGGAGTTGACAGTATATTGCACATAACATATAATCGCAGTGACGGCAAAGCTTCGTCTGACTCTCTCTTTGCAGGCTCTAAGTGTTACTTGACCGGTACAGACCTTCTCTATTGCTCAGGCTTCCTCTTTGTGGACCGGACGCTCTCCAGGATGAGGACCACGTCTCTGGGTAAGTTTCTCCAGACTAGCCGGTAGCCTGAGAACAGCCACCCCGTGTTAAACAGCCGTATTATTGTATTCGCTCCCTCTATCCGTCCCTATTAGTCCATTACACTAATTTGTCAGTTGTGGAGTGCTGAATACTGGTCTCGGCAGATGTTGCGCAGGGTTGGGTCCGGCTCATGGCTATTTAATTGCTTCCTTTCCTGTGCAACTTGTTTCCCTCCATCTGTGGTGTAGCTCATAATCCATTTTTACATGTTGGATAATTATCTCTGTGTCCATTTCCACCCCCACAAACTTGTCGTTTTATTACATTGGAGTATTCACAGACCGTGAGCCAGAAAGTTTCCGTTGGGCTGCAGTGGAGTGTGGAGATTTCCTTGATAAAGTCAAGCGCAAAGGCAGGCCAATTGATTCACAGCCAGCAGCTGTGTGATTCGATTTTGCATGTGAGGATGAGTTTTGGAGGTTGTGGGTTCATATCGGAATTAAAAAAAATGTTTTAAAACGAGCTGGATTTGCTGTTGTGCTGTAAAGCCGCGTGCGCTGCTCACGCGGGCTCCCTGCGTGGCTGTGGACTTTAGGGCCGGCTGTAAACAGTGTCAAGTAAACACAACATGGGAAAAACAACAGCAGGAAAGCGTTTAAAAGGAATTCCGTTTTGTGTCATCCAAGCCTTTTTTTCTGTTTAGGGTTGAAAAGTTCAAATGACCTCTTAAAAAGTCACTCTCCCTTTGTGGTGACCTCTTGTCCGATCAGAGTGAGGGCGAAGCAGGTCACCGCTGGACATCGATTCCAAAACGCACGAAACAAAAAAAAAAGACGATTTATCATGACCTTTTTGTGAGTAGTGTTTTGTGGAATTACTAAATTATTGTATATATTCGTGTAGTTATTTAGAAATATGTTTATTTCTTCTTTTTCCTTCAAAAGAAAGAGTTTCTGTCTCGGTGCGCTTTTTCACGTTTGATTGTTCTGCTTTAATTTGCAGACCAAATACGAAGGTAAAAAGCTCTGAGACCTGTGGCGTTTTGGGATATTTAACAACTAACAGCGTCCCAAATCACGTCTGAGTTGTGTCGTATATTGTTCTGGGTTGATTTTAAAGGATACAAAGGCAAAGGCCTAACAAAATCTTTTAAATCTGAGAGTTTTCTCTTCGGTGCAAACGTCTTCTTGATGCAGATTCTCAGTTCACTCTGTAACAAATTCAAAACCAAAATAACCCACCCCATCGCTGCTGAGAGGACGAATGAATTCTTTGCAGTTTTAGAAACAAATTTTGCAATTGTGGTCAATTTCCATCCGGTTGATTTAATTTATCCTCTTATCATATAAAGCTTCAACAATTGAGTTTAAAACTCCCTCTCCACAAACCACACCGATGAAAACTGGGGATTCATCGCTTCACGTATTTATATTGTTATGGAAACCAGTCACCAGCTGCACAAAAATACGGATTTATGCTCTTTTGTACCTCGATTTTCGTCACTTTGAAAATAAAACAGGACGCGCAGAGACTGCGGATATTTGGAACTGAGACCCCTCGCTAATATTTCAAACGCAGACGTTTCGACAGGGCCCCATGTGCGGCATACTGCCAGGCAGATAGAGAGGGGCGCGCTGCGTGGGTTCATGTGGAGGTCAGCCACAGCACGAAGATAAATCTGCATCCTCTCCGAGCCACCAGCAGAGCTCGCTTTAGGCCAAGTTCACTGTCACCAGTGCTGCAGAGAGAAAAGAGGGAGGAAAAACCGTTCAGGCATCCACTGCCTGTGCACGTGCCTCACGCGCGCGTTTACGTCGCCCCATAAGCCCAAATGCGCATAAACCAAGCCGTGGAGCGACTAAAGAATCCGGGTTCCATGTGGCACCGGAGAGGCAAACAAACCGCGTGGGGACAGAGTGGGAGTGAAACTTTTAAGTGTTTTTTCTCCAACAAAGACTGTTGGCTGCTGTCTCTGCTCCGTCTCTAATGAATGGTTTCGCATGTTTTACGGCCCTATCAGTCTTGAATTGGAACTTGCTGTTGGATGCGTCTCCCCTCTTTGTCACAAACACCACGACGAGGCGGCTGCATCATTTTCTGCATCCTGCGCCTCCTCTTTCCCTATATACCAAGTTCGTAAAAACGATAATTGCGATGGCACAAGATGTAGACATTGTTGGAATCAACTTCTCATTTCAGAAGAGGGGAGGACACGCGGGAGGGGTGGTGTTGGGGGGTGCAGATATCTCTTTGGGCTGGGGCTGATGAGAGCGATATAGCTGCAGCAGAGGAGGAAAAATTGGGGTCAAGAGTTTACGCGCTGAACAAGTCTCCGTCATCTGTTCACTCCGAGCCTGATGCCAGCCTTATAATGGCGATCTTGACTCCTCACACAAAAGGCAGAATAGCTTTGCATTACATACGTTGCGCGGTGCACTCCAGGTGAACCCTGGAAGCGCAGTGACCCCACGTTCGGGACAGGGGAGGGGGCTGGATACGTCCCCCGGCAACAAGATTGAGTGGCTGGCGTTTTATTAGGGCGGTTGATTGGTGAATTTCCTTTGAATAAATTGCATTTGATATGTTTGGGGACGAGGGCAAAATTTGCATTTCGAGGATTAATACTCTCGACCCGGTCACAGGGTAATAGGAAGGCCCACTGCACCCCTCCCCATCCCCAACGAGCACCCCGATCCCTTAAAAACCACTTAGCCCCTCTTTTCCTGATCAGCTGAATGGAATCGCGTGGAAGAATATGAGCAGTGCATGTTTTTTATTAGATAATTTTACAAATACATTTTTTATCCACATATGCTTAGTAAAGGCCTTGAAAATGTAAAAGGAAGTTAGTTAAAATGATCAACATTTTGTTGGAGTTTAAAGGGAAAAAGCGTTAATGGGACATGTCGCCTGAATTTATCCACAACAAAGACCTTATGTCAGGTTTTTTATTTCTTATGTGGGCAACAGAATACATGATTACGACATGTTTTTTTTTCTGGAAGCATATCTAAAACATTGCAAATTTCTGAAATTTATTTTACAAAGTACAAAAAATGGACAGTCAACTCAAACCACCGTCATGTTTAGAACAAATAACCAGTTTCGATTTGAAAATGAGATAGATAAATACAAAAAAAAAACGACCAACTTGTTGTCCAGTTTGTTTACTTCATTGTGAATATTTCGAAATGCTTTTAATTATTTCAAACACATCATACATCATCTGTATCAACACATCTGCCCTTTGGAATACTGTCAAAATAATAATATCAATTTTTTTTGGGAAAAAAAAAGATATTTAGTAGCCATTCCACATTTGGCCTTTATTTTATTTGAGTTAATTTCCCTTCCCTTAAAATAAGGCCTCACTTTCAAATCCTTCGCTTTTTAATGAAGAGTTGGAGTCCAATTCGTTTACAATCCAGTCTCGATGCGACATGTTTTTACTGCTCGTGTTTGCAGTTGATTATTTCTTAAACAGCATTTAACGTTTCATTCCCTTATCTGCACATTTTAATAAGGATTTGTTTGTTTGATGTCGCCGTACAGTGCAGTCAAACACTTTTACGCAAAAAGAGCCTCTTTAAACGGATGCATGAAGCAATGGATGAATGCATATGTTTAGTTTTATATTGTTTTTTTCTTTACTGTGTTATTAAACATTTGTTCCATGAAATGTAAACAAAAAAAAAAAAATACAGAATCCGGCCTCTGGCGCCTTCAGACTGACCAGTGCACTTCAATCCAGCCGCTTTCCAAAGGACGTGTCCTTGCTTCCGTGCAACCTTCCTTCCTCAAGGCTTCGAGGCGTCTAATCAAAGTTAACAGCTGCAGAGAAAAGTTAATGATCATTATTGGTAATTCTGAAAAACAGCCTAGCCTTTCTCACTGTTTAATTTCCCTGCAATAACCAGCTAGTGAAAGGCTCCAGAAAACATTGCACAGCGAGCAAGTAAAAAAAAAAAAGGGGAAAAAAATACTATTTTATTATCAGTGTTGACCTGTTTTGAAATGCTTCGCTTTGAAATGTTCTTTGTTGGCTTTGGATTCTTGGCACATGCATCTCGAGTACAGGAAGAGTTTTTTTTTCTCTTCTTCTCTGTCATTCATAGCCCCATATAGACAGGAGACCTTGTGGGAGCAATCTGCAATCTGTCACCATCGTCACAGCACTTCTCTGATAATCTACATTTACAGTAAACTGTCAGCATGATGTATATCGGCTAACAAGACCTTCACTTCTCTTGTCTCAGTGCAGTGAAAAAAAGAAAAAGCAAAAAGACAACGCTTTGCACAGGCTGGTGGAAATCTCAGCGTAAGCCTGCAGCGTTTTCTTTTTCTTCCTCTTCGCAACTAAAACAAATTGGATTTGAAATTTGGTGGAATATTGCAGAGCTATAGCTTTTCCACTCTCGCTGTATGCAAACATTCGCTCCACTGTGGCATGAGATAAGTATTGCTTTGCTGCGTTTAGGCGTGACCATGCACTGATGTTTCGAGGAGCTTTTTGCATTCAAACAAATTGGAGCCTCTCGGAGGCCTGCGCACAACAAAAGAGGGTCAATTTATAGCTCTGGATTTTGCTTTACCCTTCAAGAAAATAACGTTTGACGCAGTTATTCAGGTCTTAATATCATAACGTATCAGCAACAAGTGGAATCTAGCGGAATCTAAAGCATGCACGCAAAAAATTACTCACAGGATAAGTGGATAATAGCCACTCTGACCCGGCCCGTATTTATACAGGACCTATGTGTAATAGAATGGCAGCAGAGTGTGAATTTAGATATCAAGTGAAGTCGTCTTACCCACTGACATTATGTTGACATATTGCCTCTCAGGTGGTCTCCTGGCCTTATGGGTACAGTGAATCTGTGACGGAGGGAGCATCAGCTTCCATTTTCCAGTGAGCTGAACGCAGGAACGCAGTTGGATGCACAGCAGCTCCGTTCCAGAGCAACAGTGCACCAACATGGAAGGAATTAAAAGTAAAGAACAGAGGGCCTGGGTGTTCTCAGTCGTCCTCATCCAAAATCAACAATTTCAGGGTGGAAGATAAGCGAAAATGAAATAAAATACGACTTTTTAATCAATCTTCCTCACTCTACAGATAACGACGTTATATATTTTGCAGTGGTCCGACCTCTTAGCTCCTCAGATAGTTTGAGGTCTTTTACACGTTTTATAAAATCTTTTGAGGACCCTCCTGGGGGGTGCTGACCCGCGCTAAGTGCCTCCCTCCCCCCTCCGTCCACCCATCTCCCCAGAGCTGAAGGGAGCCTGCAAAACTGAAGTCCAAGTCCGGGGTGAGCCCCAGGTCACCACGTCTAACAGATATGAAAATGTCGCCTCTTTGGAGAAAAAAAAAAGGGGGCACGCCTCGTTGTTTAACAAAGAGTGTCAATGGGCAAGATTAATCAGAAACAAAATGGAAACGGTGTCACTTTGGGGTCAGGCAGAAGTTATCTCTGTGTAGGGGTGCGAAAAGAATAGGGAGGGTGACCAGGGGAAAAAAAAAGAGAAAGAAAAGAAAGCTTACAATATTTCCGTAAGTTTGGCCCCTTGTTTCTCTTTGCAGGGGCCTTGTTGAAGTGGACAGTGTGGATAAGCTTTAAGAGGAGCTGCTGCCTATCCGAGGAACACGGATACAGTGAGTCAACTGAGATATGGAAAGGAAACCGGAGCTGGACGTGATGGCTGATGGAGAAGGGCACGGTGAGAGGCTTTTCAATGATTTACTCAGAAGACTGGGCTAACACACAACTTGGTTTATTATCATCTTGTTATCCCCAAATATAGGGAAGAGTAAGAAAAACTAATTTATGCAATTTATGGATAGTATTTCAAATTTTTAAACAATTTAAAATACTGAATGATAATAATAATAATAATAATAATAATAATAATAATAATAATAATAAT